GTAGTAGGCATCTGTTTTATTTTGTGACTGCATGAAGTTGGTATGATTTTTTACATTTTTCATGCACTGTACAATAGTGCCCTAGATTTTGCATAGTACTGTGTATTCGAGTAACACAACTGATAAATTTATCGAGCTGAAACTGACAGTGTGAAATAGACAGTGTGTTTATGACGTAAAATAGTATTTTGACTCAATATTATTCAGTACATTGTTTACATATATGTATCAATCATGTGTGACCCAAATGATGAAAATCAAATAGGCATTAAGCATGAGGATAATATTCTTCGTCACTCTGAGCGACAGAAAACTCTTACAGAAAAGGCATATTCGATATATTAATCCAAAGTTCAGAATTTCACTACAGCTTTCAATACAGTATGGAAGGACATAGAAGCAGCAATTTGTGATTACAACTCTAGAGAGTCAGAACTCGAACCCCGTGGGATACAGCAATATGATGCTGAGGTCGGCTGTCTACGTCAAGAACTTATTGCGTCATCTGATACACTAGTGAAATATCTTATAAGAATCAATACATCAGAGAGTTCAGAAGAAAAGTCAAGACACTTAGATACCTTCATTAGAAGAAAGGGAATTGTTGATAGATTTCTAGCTGGTGTTGCAGAGCGTATGTTAGAGGCAGTTGAAAACATATCGCATAAGATGGCATCCGAGCATAATAGTCGCAGCAGCAAGAGGTCCGGAACTTCAACAAGTCCATCAGTCATACTGTTAGAGAAGCAATTAAACGTTGAGAGACAGAAGACTCGATTAGAATTCCTGAAGCATGAATTAACACTAGAAAAGAAAAAGTCGCAACTGGAGTTGGATCTTCGCTTATTAAAACAGGAGCAAGAAACTGCTGTCGCTGAAGCAGAAGCCAAAGTGGCAAGAGACCATATCACACCTCAAGAGTTCCATGTCAAAGAAGAGCGTCATTCACAAATTCCAAAGAATGAGATTGTGTCTCGTTTCCTATCATCACTCGACAGCCAGTCCTCAGAAGGATTTGTTAAACTACCTCCGCCCAATTTTATTTCAACTCCACATGAGCCTGTGCTTGAGGTCAAGGACACTGACCCTCCAAGGCCATCAGCTATGCCTGACCCGAATCCAGGCATTGGTGACTTCACATCATTTTTACTTAAGAAAGACTTGTTGACTTCACGATTCATGGCTTTCACTGACCAACCAGAAGCATACACAGGTTGGAAAACCAGCTTTCAAGGAATTCTGAAGGAACTGCGGGCAACACCAGGAGAGGAGTTGGATTTACTCATAAAGTGGCTAGGAGCAGAGTCAAAGAAATTTGCCATGAGCATGAGAACAGCAAATCCAAAGGATCCACAGAAGGCTGTGCGACTGATATGGCAGCGCTTACAAGAACGCTACGGTAGCCCAGAACTTGTGGAGGCGGCCTTAAAGTCTAAACTGGACAAGTTTCCATCTGTATCTATAAGTGACAGTAAAAAACTGTATGAACTGGCTGATCTGTTGACTGAAATAGATTCAGTTAAGGAGGACCCTACCTATTCAACCCTCTTGTCATATTTCGACTCTTCCAGTGGAATCTTACCTGTTGTGAGAAAGCTCCCTGTGAATATTCAAAAAAAGTGGATTACTAGAGCTTCGGCCTTTAAGAGACATTCCGGACAACCACATCCTCCATTCAAGTATTTTGTGGACTTCATAATGGAGATGAGTCAAATCAGGAACGACCCTGGACTATGTCTACAGGATCGGAGAAAGGAAAACATACCGGTACATCGCCCTGAGCGCAGGGTTATAAACAGAAAGACAGACCTCGAAGCTAGCAACAGTGAGAAATACAAGGACCATTTTGATCCTAGGAAAAAATGTCCAATTCATCCAAAGGATTTTCATGCCTTGAATAAGTGCAGAACTTTTCGCATCAAACCAATGAAAGAACGCACAGACATTCTTGTAAGGCATGGAATTTGTTTCAAGTGTTGCAATTCTACTGAGCACTTTTCAAGGAACTGTAATGAGAAAGTAACATGTTCTGTCTGTGCAAGTGATGCACATCCGTCGGCGCTTCATGTTGACCAAAGGAGCCCTCAAGGCGGGGAGAGAAAACAAGATTCAGAGACAAAAGCTACTGTAAATAGCAAGTGTGCGCAGATTTGTGGTGGTATTCAAGGAGGAAAGTCGTGTTCAAAAACAATTCTGGTTAATGTGTATCCACAAGGAGAACCTAATAACTTTGTGAAAACTTACGCTTTGATTGATGATCAAAGTAATTGTTCATTAGCCAAAAGTGAACTCTTTGAGATGTTAAACATTAACTCTGAGACGAAGGATTATCAGTTACAAACATGTTCAGGAGTAAAAACTATGACCAGCAGGATTGCCAAAAATCTTGTTGTAGCATCACCGGATGGACGCACAAAGCATTTGTTGCCCCCTATTGTGGAATGTGATGACATACCGAACAATCGTGACGAGATTGCAACGCCAGCCTTGGCAAGAAGGTTTCAACACCTTTCAGACATAGCATGTCACATTCCTGAATTAGACTCTAAGGCAAAGATATTGCTTCTTATCGGCCGTGATTTGATTGTTGCACACCATGTCCATGACCAAAGAATTAGCCATGATGCTCCGTATGCCCAGAAGTTGAGTCTCGGTTGGACGATCATTGGTGAGACATGCTTGAACAAGGCACACCTACCTGTAAATATTTCAGTGAACAAAATATACCTGCATGACAATGGTAGGCCTTCTATCCTGCGGCCCAGTAACAGCTCACTTACAGTTAAGGATCCTTGCATCGACCAGGAACAGTTTTCCTCTGTGTTCGAGAGAACGCCAAACGATGATAAGCCAGGACCTTCTCAGGAAGACATTGTTTTCCTCGATATTATGGAAAGTGAGTTCCATCGCAACCAAGTGGGAGAATGGACAGCTCCCCTACCTTTTAAGCCTGGACGACCCAGACTTCCAAACAATTACACTCAAGCAGTCAAGAGAGCCAAAAATCTAGACTCCAATCTCAGGAAGAATCCTACAAAGATGGATCATGCCCTAACTTTCATGGAAGGGATTTTTACCAAAGGACATGCTGAAATAGCCCCACCTTTACATTGTAAGGATGAGTGTTGGTACTTGCCAATATTTGCCATTTATCATCCTAAAAAGCCAGGAAAAATCAGGATGGTTTTTGACTCCTCAGCTTCCTACGATGGAATTTCATTGAACTCTGTTCTGTTATCTGGACCGGATTTGACCAATAATTTGTTGGGCGTGCTTCTTCGATTTCGCAAAGAGAGAATCGCAGTCATGGCAGACATAGAACAAATGTTTTATTGTTTCCGTGTGGCCAAAGATCATCAAAACTACTTGCGTTTTCTGTGGTACAAGAACAATTACCCATCAAATGAACTAATTGAATATAGAATGACTGTGCATGTTTTCGGCAACACGCCGTCACCGTCTGTTGCAACATATGGCCTGAGACAATCTGTTGCTGATCATCCAGATCCTGATATAAGGGAGTTAGTGCACAGAAGTTTCTATGTGGATGATTTGTTGGTTTCAGTTCCAGTTGCAGAGCAAGCTGTCAAGCTTATCAGAAAGACTCAGGAAGCCTTGATGGAAGGCGGGAAGCTCAGATTACACAAAGTAGCCTCCAACTCACAGGAAGTGATGAGTGCATTCGATGAAGGAGAAAAAGCTAAAGACTTGAAATACATTGATTTGCGACTGGATGAGGCACCCTTACAGAAGAGTCTAGGACTGACCTGGGACTTACAGACTGATTCCTTTACGGTTGATGTGTCCCTTGAGCAGAAGCCATTTACAAAGCGTGGAATGCTGTCCACATTAAACAGCCTATATGACCCCATTGGTTTCATCAGTCCAGTAACACTGAAAGGAAAGATACTGTTTCGTAAAGCCCTGAATTCACCGTCTGACTGGGACGATCCTCTTCCACCTGAGTTTGAGGATGAATGGAGGAATTGGTGTGATTCACTTGAGGAATTGGCCCACATTAGCATCCCTAGACCATATACATCATCAGGCTTGCAGGACGCTTCTAGAGTGGAAGTACACATTTTCTGTGACGCCTCGGAGATTGCTATCTCTGCAGTTGCTTACCTTAAGGTAGTTGAAATGGATCATACAGACATTGGTTTCGTGCTTGGGAAATCCAAGTTGGCGCCAGCACACGGACACACAGTTCCCCTACTAGAACTGTGTGCAGCTGTGCTCGCAAGTGAAATTGCAAACATAGTGACAGATAATTTAGACTCAAGGATTGACCATTTACAGTTCTATTCCGATAGTCGCATAGTACTAGGCTACCTGTACAATACCTCAAGACGATTTTATACCTATGTGTCCAACAGGGTTCAGAAGGTACTTAAGCTCGCTCCAGCTAGTCATTGGACCTATGTGCAGTCAGCAAAGAACCCAGCAGATATCGGGTCAAGGTCAATATCAGCAAGAGACCTTCAAAGTAGCGAGTGGATCAAGGGACCTGATATACTCTCTAGTGTGCAAGATGACAAGGAGGAGTTTCATTTGGTTGATGCTGACCACGACAGTAATGTGAGGCCACAGCTGTCAACCCTTATGACTGTCACAAAGAGACCATTCGGGATTGAACGATTCCAGAGATTCTCCACCTGGAAGTCATTGGTCAATGCTATTAGCATTTTGAGATATGTGGTATTGCGTAGGCATGGAGTTCACTGTGATAGGTTCTCATCACATTTCCGTCGAACTACAGAGATATCCATTTTCAAGTTGGTGCAGCAGGAGACCTTTCATCAGGAAATAGCAAATCTTCATGAAGGCAAGGCTATTTCTAAGAACAGCTCTATTGTCAACCTTGACCCTTACCTGGATGATGATTCCATTCTTCGTGTTGGTGGACGCCTTCGTTCAGCAGAAATTGACCACAATTTCAAGAATCCTTGCATTATTTCCCGATCACACATAGCCCGACTTCTCATCAGCCATCAACATGACATGGTGCAGCACCAAGGAAGACACTATACGGAGGGAGCTGTGAGAAGTGCTGGTTATTGGATTGTTGGCTGTAAGAAACTAGTGTCATCTGTGATTTACAATTGCGTGATATGCCGCAAGTTGCGTGGACGTTTAGAGCATCAGAAGATGGCAGATCTACCATCCGTACGAGTTTGTCAGTCTCCACCATTCACTTATGTGGGTGTTGATATGTTTGGTCATTGGGAGGTGGTGACAAGGAAGACACGTGGGGGAAGTGCCAATAGCAAGCGGTGGGCGATACTGTTTACCTGCCTGTCCTCCAGAGCTTCCCATATTGAAGTGGTAGAAGATATGTCTTCATCGGCCTTCATCAACGCCCTTCGCCGCTTTATTGCCATTAGAGGACGAGTTGCAGAATTTAGGTCTGACAGAGGCACTAATTTTGTTGGAAGCATAGATGCGTTGGGAATCAGTGCAGTGAATGTTGAAGACCCAACCTTTAAAACCTTTTTGACCAAGAATGGCTGCAGTTGGATTTTCAACGCCCCCCACTCTTCCCACATGGGTGGTGTTTGGGAAAGAGTTATTGGACTTGCTAGACGAATACTTGATGCCATTCTTCTAAAGCAGCCGAAGCGTCAGCTTACCCATGATGTCCTTGTAACGTTGATGGCGGAAGTTACAGCAATACTCAACAACAGACCTTTGGTTCCTGTTTCTATGGACCCACACAACCCATTGGTGCTTACCCCCAATATGTTGCTTACTCAGAAGAGTGTAGCGGATGTTCCACCCTTTCAGGAACTTGACATTAGAGACATGTATGTTTCAAGCTGGAAACATGTACAGGTTATAGCACAGCAGTTTTGGAAACGGTGGCACACTGAATATTTGCAACTTCTTCAGCAAAGGAGAAAGTGGACAGATTCTAAGGACAATCTACAGATTGATGTTGTTCTGCTTCGAGAGAAGGAAGCTCATCGCAATGATTGGAGTATGGGCGTTATCAATCGAACATTCCCTGATGAAGATGGCAAGGTCCGAAAGATCGAGGTTCGCACTAACAGAGGAGGACAGCTCGTTCATTATGTGAGGCCGATTACAGAGGTTGTTCTCCAAGTCCCACATCGGTGATGGTAAGACTTGTCTTGCGGAAGGTGTAGTGTAGTGACTGGCGTCAGGCGGGGAGTGTTCTGACACTTTCCGGATTTGTGCGTTCCGTATTTTACCTTTCTGTTTTATATGCACTTAGGTAATGTTGCATATACGATTAGCAGCATGGCATGGCTGCTCACGGTTTTGGCCGTCCTATACTTTTAAGTGTTTAATTGCAACCGAGTGCGTGTTCCCATGGTGTAAGTAAATGTTACTTGTGTTTTGTGTATATTGTGTATGCTCTCTATTCGGTCATAATTAATTTGTACAACAAGTTCTGTAATGTTTACATTATTTCCGGTGAGGAAATTCGGTCGTGTACTATCATTTCTTTAATAGGCCTAGTCTTAATTTAGAATGTGTGTTTGTACGATGTTATCATATTGAGCATATTGTGATGTGTTGTTTATTTGTTTATTTTCAGTATTTTACCCTTTCATATCTTGCTATAATAAACAGATAACTGTTTATTGTGTTATTCATTTGGACCTGGCAAGATAAGGGTTACGTCTGCCCTGTTCGTGTGGCAGTGAGGCAGAACAAAATCAGATGTGGATACTTAAAAATTCTAAAGAACTTTTGGACAATTTGAAATCACAAGACTTTACAAAAATCAACAGCATAAAAACTTACGACTTTTCAACTTTATACACAACAATTCCCCACGACAAATTAAAATCCAGGCTTTTTGATATCATTGACAGCTGCTTCTTCAACAAAAATGGAACTCGTAAGTTTACTTACCTCGTCATTGGTCATTTGAAAAATTATTTTGTTAAAACAGATTCTGATTCCACACATAAGTACTCTGAAGTTGACATCAAGAAGATGCTTGAGTTTCTGATTGACAATATCTATGTGGTTTTTGGAGACCAGGTATTCCAACAATCTATTGGAATTCCCATGGGTACAAATTGCGCTCCGTTATTAGCAGACTTATTTTTATATTCATATGAAGCAGAATTTATGCAAAATCTTTTGCGTGAAAAGAAGAAAACACTTGCTGTGGCCTTCAACTCGACATTTAGATATATCGACGACGTATTGTCAATTAATAATGATAATTTCCATTCCTACGTCAACACGATATATCCTGGTGAGCTTGAGATAAAAGATACCACAGAGTCCGACACTTCTGCTTCATACTTGGATATTTTACTTGAAAAAGACACTAATGGTAATCTAACAACCAAGCTATATGATAAACGTGATGACTTTAACTTTTCTATCGTCAACTTCCCTTACTTATGCAGCAATATACCTTCATCACCTGCATACGGAGTATTTATATCTCAGTTGATTCGATACGCAAGAGCATGCTCTACGTATGAACAATTTCTTAAACGAGGTAAATTATTGACAAGCAAGTTGATGAAACAAGAATATCAACAGTCTCGTTTAAAGTCATCATTTCGTAAATTCTATGGTCGATACAATGACCTTGTCAGCAAATACAATTTATCATTGAATGAAATGCTGACTGACGTTTTTCATACCAATTGTTAGTCCATTATTTATACACTGAATTGACCACGGATTTTTTCCGTTATTTCCTGATTATGACAACGAGCACACGGCGGGTGTGACCGGTCGGCAGGGGATGCTCACTCCTCCATGGCACCTGATCCCACCTCTGATGTTTCGGAGGTCCGTGTTTGCTCTGCTCTTATTTTGTATATTTGTTTAATGGACGTTGAGATTGAATACTGTTCGTTATTTCCATATCCTTCATGCAAAAGTTCAACACTACGCCGCATATCTTGAAACTTAACTTTTGTTTCTATCTTAAGTTCCTATTCTTATGTTTTTAGAAAGTGCTGCTAGAATCGTATGGTTTACGGGAATAGATGCATTTTTTCGATGTTATGAACAAAATGTACAAATTTTGGGAGGGTTTCGTCCGAAATTATTGAATAATTATTTCTAGAATATGACATTAGGATTCTAGCAGCACTTTTCATGGTACAGAGATTTTTTTTACATGACTATCATTAAAATTGAAACTAATTATCCCCGGGGTAGTGTTAAACTTTTCACTTTTTCATTAAGGCATATTTTCTTATTATAGACGTCACGTGATGACGTCGTGGTGAAGTACTTCCTGTAGTATAAGTCCCATTGAAGTCTATAGAATACATAATTATAGCAAAAGTTTTATCTTTGACTTTTCCGATTTATTAGTGTTACATAATTATAAAAAAAAGTCTTAATTCGCCGAATTCCGATCCATGTGCTGCCAGGTACGCACAAACCTGCGTTATTATTGTTTTTTTAATCCATGAGGAATAGGCCACTGCCGTATGTGTAAATTGACTATTAGCATGTTTGGTGTAAGCATGTTATACCATATTCACACACAAAGTTACATTCATTCTGTAGGAAAGTTGTAACCAACAGGTAATGGTGTGGGAGTATGTCATATTACACCAACTGTAGGCAAACCTGGGCCATAGAAAACTTTTTAGTCACACACTCCTACACTATGTTCCAAAAAGGGTATCGTTTTCTTATGATTCCTATGTCATAAGAAATATGCTTGCTAATATGGACCATAATTACCATCTGGACAGATTATCAGCCATAACAGAAAGTGGAAAACCTTATGTATACTCCCACTTTTCAAGGAAGACAAAACAGTGGGTTGCATATGACAAGAAAACAGCAAAGGAATATTCATACATTCCAGGTATGTTCATTTTAATACACTTTTAAACAGTATAACTGGATTTTTCTTGGGGTGCTATTTTTGGCGAATTTCTGCGATCAAAAATCGCAAAAAATTCAATAGCAAAAAATACGTCATAAAATGTCCCCATAAAAACACCCCTTGTGAGGCCTCTAATAGAGTCCGAATTCACGTTTCGTTGCGTAATACAGGTATCGATAATTGGTCAGTGAATACCCCGTAGTTAGCGTGTGTTGCTGAAACGCGGAACGGAAAACGGAACGGAAAGCGGAGCGGAACAGAAACAGAATTAATTTGGATAAAATCACTTAAAATACACAAATTTTATCATAAACGCTATATCTTGTACACATTCAATACCCCACTATTAATACATGTACAAGTTGATTTTGTCATGTTCAGTCACTTATTTACAAAATTCGCTAACAGAGCAGTCACATACAATCGAATTTGAAAAGGGGGAGGGGTTAACGAACTTGAGAAGTACTTAACAGGCAAAAAACGCAAAAATATTTGATTCGAGAGGGGAGATATAACACAAAAAGATAAAATCGACTAAAATAAGGAAATCTACCAAAACCGTGACGAACAGTAAAGATTCGCGATGTGGCACATGTTCTGTTTTAAGACAAGGAACGTCATTTAATTTAAGAGGAAAATATTTCTCTAATAATTCCGACATGACATGCGAGTCCAAAAATCTACGATATCTTATTACTTGCGGAGGATGCAACCAATTATACATCGGTGAAACGGGGACCAAATTGAAATATATTTAAATAACAGACAGCTAGGTACAATTCATTTTTTTCATCGGCTTGATTTAAATCAGTTTCGGATAATTTACTTAACTGTTCTTTTTTCGATAATATTATACTCTTCTAAAATAAGTCATTTAATTTAAGAGGAAAATATTTCTCTAATAATTCCGACATGGCATGCGAGTCCAAAAATCTACGATATCTTATTACTTGCGGAGGATGCAACCAATTATGCATTACATCGGTGAAACGGGGACCAAATTGGGAGCCATAATTCGGGTACATAAACAACATATTCAAGTTCCGGAGTACCGTAAAATCCAACTCGGCGAACACATTGATAGATGCGGTAAGGACAATAACAGTGTTTCCTTTTTATAAACTTTTCAAAGACAATATAACTGAAAGACGAGAAAAAGAAAAATACTTCATTCAAACATTTAACCCAGTCTTAAAAGTTTGATTTCATTTGATTTCTGACTAAACCTTCAAACAGAGTATAACCTTTCCATGTTCTCCACCTATTGGAATGCATTTTTGTTCCCCTACCCTGCGTATGGGTATTCAGTAACCAAGCTAAGCAACTGCTAAGTGTATTGTTATGATGATCAGTGGTGCCTCTTTCAAAATTGTGAATGCCATATTTGTATTCAGTATATATATATATATTAAATTTGATTTATCTTAGTATGATAAATCTTTAATTGGTGATAAGAAAATACACATTTTCTTTTTTTACACCTAGTGCTACCAGCCTTAATAGACGAAATTCGTCTATTCTCTGTTCTCATAAGGAGAACAGGCCTCTGTATGATCGTGTAGACATACGTAGTACATCTACTAATTATTTTTTTAAAAATAAATAAATAAATAATAAATAAATAAACCACCGTGTTGCTACAATCATTTTTTGGTGGCCGATCATACATGGAGTTAAATGTCAACATAATATAAAGAGAAAATAAAGATGAGGTGAGGAAAAATTGCAAATAGCAACAAAAACGGTTGATTTTGTTTAATAATTGCTGAACATAAACTTTTACATTAAATAAAAATGAGATGGGGATTAAATACATATTTGGAAGGTGTGTAAGTGTATCAAAATTTAGCTTTAAAATGATACAAGGAATGGGGGGTTTAATAATTTAGTTTTGCTACATTGTTTTTATTTAGCTTGAAATATAGTATAAAATTGCTGCTTTTACCGATTAAAAATAAAATTTTAGATAATGTATTATAAGAGTAATTGGTATCCGCCGAGCACTGAAAACATTAATTTGTCACGTTGACCAGATATGCAGTCATTTTCTTCCGTTCAGTTAGTCAATACATAATTTGACTAGCTGTTTCCTCAACATTACCAGTCCTTGGTCAACTTTGACTTGTATCCTGGTCATTTTGTATATATTGTTTGGCGGGAAGAAATAATAGCGTCAGTCGCCATTTTCCTCCAAGGAAAACACGAGTGGTATGTCATGTTTTGTTGTTTTCTTGTTTAAGACAAATAATTCTATAAGAAAACTTATTCAAAAAATGTTCTACTATGAAATAATATTATAATTAACAAAGTACTCGATATTTTTCTTCAATAATTATTGTATTTTACATTATTATGATACATGTAGGCTAGGATGTGGGTTGATTGTGTTCAAGTAGATTTTTGCATTTTCAATTTTTGCAAACAGTTCAAATTGGACTTGGTCTAAAATTCCACGATTATTAAATACGTATTATTCTTTACAACTCAGAGGTATGGCATGGACTCTCAACTACCACTGAATGGACAAACAAATCAAAATACAATACCTTGTTACGAATATAGACAAGATGAAAACCACATTAGGTACACAAAGATGTTACCATGAATAAAGAAATAAGGTAGGATACACGTACTGATAGCTTATATTTTAAGTATAATGGTGATTTACGTAGAACTTGTTATTTTTCAACATTGTATTTTTTAAAAGAAAATGCTAATAGACGAGTCCCTGATGTTTATGTACTAACTCTCTGGTCTGCTTCACTAAGTATTATTGGTGTTATTCCATGTATTTTGTAAGTAATGCATGTATATGATAAAGGCATTTTTAAAAAAAA